CCCATCTGAATGTTGCAGCAACCAGTCTACCCATTCTCCTCTGAACTCTGACATCAGCAAGGTATCTTTGCCCACACAACTGCCCCATATGGAAGAAAAATATATTTTGAAATATATTTTAAAAATATTCTTCCCAAATATGTTGACATTTATTTGAAATGCTGCAATATTGGCCATATTCAAATTCAATATATTCCTATATATATATATATATATATATATATATATATACATACACACACACACACTGTATGTTGACATTTTTTTAAATCTATTTTTACATATATTCTTCAGATTTTTGTTAACATATAAGAAAGTAATTTTAACATATATTTTTACATATATTTGTAAATGCATTCCAGTAATGTAGATTTGTAATTTTAAAGACATACATACAGTATATTTGAAATGTATTTTTAAAAATATTTTTCTTATATTTTGTAATAAAAATTGTAACATACAGGATATATATATATACATACATAGTGTGTGTGTGTGTGTGTATGTGTGTGTATATATATATATAAAATTTTATTTAAATATATTGAATATGGCCGAAATTGTAGCATTTCAAATATATGTCAATATTTTTGGGAAGAATATTTTTTAAATATATTTCAAATATATTTTTCTTCCATGTGGGGCCGCATCAGTGGATATTTTCTCTTTTTAGGACCGCTCTCTGTAAACCCTAGAGATGGTTGTGCATGAAAATCCTAGTAGATCAGCAGTTTTTGAAATACTCAGACCAACCCTTCTGGCACCAACAAGCACGCCACATTCAAAGTCACCTAAATCCATTTTCTTGCTCATTATATATTATACCCAGTTTGAACTTCAGCAAGTTGTCTTCCCCACCTCCAGATGCTTAAATGAATTGAGTTGCTGCCATGTGATTGGCTGATTAGCAATTTGTGTTACCAAGCAGTTGAACTGGTGTACCTAATAAAGTGACGGGTGAGTGTATATACGGTATATATTGTATATTATACTGGCTGGAACCTTCAACCACACAACCAATAGGAACTAAAGCACCACCCCTCTGCTAGGATCACCTCTTTCACAAAGAATCACCTCATCTACTAGATTTACTGGTCCTGCTTTAGAATATTGTGACAATATGTAAATCTGTTCATGTGAGATTACTGATGATTTAATCAAATGTATGGCTGACAACTATACTGGAAAATAATATTCGAACTTTTGCGAACAGTTGGTTGTTATAGATTGTCTGTCTGATTTTCAAGGGTGAAAGGTTGGCTGTTCCAAAATCAATGAGAACTGAAGTGATAAATAAAACAGCAGCTTGTCTAATCTCTGCCTTTGAAAACATCTTGACATTTAGCAAAGTTTAGAAACTGAAAGTGATTTTTTTCAGACATACATTTTCAGAAGAATTTGTTTCAGATGATGGCCTTCAATGTTAAATTTTATTATGGATCTTTCTGCAGACTAGTTAAAACTTCCATTCAGATTCCATGTTAAATTTTATTATGGATCTTTCTGCAGACTAGTTAAAACTTCCATTCAGATTCCATTTAAATTTAGTGTTCATTTTTGGTCTTTAAAACTTCCATTTTATTTTTTACTTTTGTTAGGACTTTTCACACCAGAAGGCATTTGTTCCTGTACATTTCTGTGCAGTGTGGTTATGACAGCCTATTCCTCTGAATGGGATTCAAAACCCATTGCAACATGGAAAAAGTAGTGCAAGAACTACTTTTTCAGAATGGGCCAAACCAATCACATGGTTGCCCATGCCACCTGGTGTTTCTTTCTTAATACATTCAAGGCATCTCTCCTAACTTTATTTACATGTTGGCAGCTATGCAGGAGATTGGGACCCCAGCAGGAGAACTATGCAAGGCATTGGAATTCCAGCAGGAGATCTTTGCAGGAATTGGGATGCCAGCAGGAGAACTATTTAAACAATTGGGATAACAGCAGGAGAACAGTTCAGGAGATTGGGATCCCAGCAGGAGCTCTGTGCAGGAGACCTATGCAAGAGATTGGGATATTAGCAGAAAACAATGCTCAGGAGATTGCGATCCCAGCAAGAGAACTATGCAGGAGATTGGGATTCCAACAGGAGAATTGTTCAGGAGATTGAGATCCCAAGCAGGAAAACTATGCAGGAGATTGGACTCCCAACAGGAGAACTATGCAGAAGATTGGGATCCCAGCAGGAACACTATGCAGGAGATTGGACTCCCAACAGGAGAACTATGCAGAAGATTGGGATCCCAGTAGGAACACTATGCAGGAGATTGGGATCCCAGCAGGAACACTATGCAGGAGGTTGGGATCTCAGCAGGAACACTATGCAGTAGATTGGGATCCCAGCAGGAACACTATGCAGGAGACTGGGATCCCATCAGGAACACTATGCAGGAGATTGGGATCCCAAGCAGGAAAACTATGCAGGAGATTGGACTCCCAACAGGAGAACTATGCAGAAGATTGGGATCCCAGCAGGAACACTATGCAGGAGATTGGGATCCCAGCAGGAACACTATGCAGGAGATTGGGATCCCAGCAGGAACACTATGCAGGAGATTGGGATCCCAGCAGGAAAACTATGCAGGACAAATGACTCCCAACAGGAGAACTATGCAGAAGACTGGGGATCCCAGTAGGAACACTATGCAGGAGATTGGGATCCCAGCAGGAACACTATGCAGGAGATTGGGATCCCAGCAGCAACACTATGCAGGAGATTGGGATCCCAGCAGGAACACTATGCAGGAGATTGGGATCCCAGCAGGAACACTATGCAGGAGATTGGGATCCCAAGCAGGAAAACTATGCAGGAAATTGGACTCCCAACAGGAGAACTATGCAGAAGATTGGGATCCCAGCAGGAGCACTATGCAGAAGATTGTGATCAAAGCAGGAACACTATGCAGGAGATTGGAATCTCAGCAGAAACACTAGACAGACGATTGGGATCCCAGCAGGAACACTATGCAGGATATTGGGATCCCAGCAAGAATACTATGCAGGAGATTGGGATCCCAGCAAGAACACTATGCAGGAGATTTGGATCCCAGCAGGAGCACTATGGAGGAGATTGGGATCCCAGCAGGAAAACTATGCAGGAGAATTGACTACCAACAGGAGAACTATGCAGAAGATTGGGATCCCAGCAGAAACACTAGCATTAGATTGGGATCCCAGCAGGAGAACTATGCAGGAGATTGGGAATCCAACAGGAGAACTATGCAGGAGACTGGGATCCCAGCACCTGTTGTGCAAGGATGATGCACAACAGGGGGGGAAGGGGCATAGTTTGGCATCTTTGAACTGAGCACTGAATGACACTGTCCTGATACTACCTGGAGGGAATCACTGACTGCCGGTAACATCTGTGGAATAAGCAAAAGGCCATAAATATGGCTCTGTTTTTTTCCATGAGTATAAGATATAAGTAAAAATTTTAGGCTCCCCTCTAATGTTAGTTTCATTTTGGTTACAAACTTCCGAGGCTTGTAGATTTTGCACTTTTCCTCATCAGAACACCGAATTTGGTTCAGGTCGTAAAAATGAATCTCACCTTTAGGAATCAGTTTGGTGAAGGCATGGTTAAACAAACAGCTTTTTGTTTAGAGCACTGGTCTCCAAACTGTGGCCCTGGGGTGGATGCTGCCCTTTGTTTGCATTTATCCGGCTCTTGAGGCATTATTCCTGCCACTGACACTAACAATAGGGCATAATTCCTGCCACTGACATTAACAGTGGGGTGCCATTCCTTCCACTGACACCAACGATGGGGCAGAATTCCTTTCACGGACAACAAAAATGGGCACTATTCCTCTCAACGACACCAACTATTTCTCCCCCTAATAACAAAGAGTGGGCATTGTTTACTCCCACTGGGCACAATCTGCCCCTCATCTTAAGCCTGAAGGACAGTAAACTGGTCCTTTCTTTAGAAAGTTTGGAGACCCCTGGTTTAGAGCAACAACAGAGAAATGTGGCAAAAAAGTTTACAAAAACTCTTGCAATATTTTGTATATAAATCACCCTAGAGTGATTATGTTTTTCCAAAGAAAACCGGAGCTACACATTACTGACTTACTCAAACTCATACTTGTTTTATATACAGTTTCATACATTTTTGCAAGCTGTGGAACCAATGATCCTCTGAATCAAAGAAAACAAGAAAATGGCATTACTTTGTAATGTTTCAGAACTACTACACTCTCTCTTGGAGAACAATGGCAAAAGTCATTGAGGCTTCAAAGAGTTCCACTGGGCTACTACATAAATAAATTACATTTTTTACAAGTGGACTTGTATCAATAGACCAAACTTTTCTTCTTTTAGTTTTGGATAGCGGTGAAGGGTTAGAACCCCCGCCAAGTACAGTATTTCTTGTATGTCTGCTCGGGAGATTCACTCAGCCTTTTACCTAAAAGCCATTGTCACTGGGACTGAAAGTGAGTGAAAATCCCAAGGTTAAAAAGTATACTAAAAATGGCTGAACCCATCTAAGCTATTGCTCATCTGCCAAGACCTCAAAGCATTATTAAACCATTAAAAAAACACATTTTTATCTTTATTTTTACCTGGTGATCCAGCCAGTAACACACTTTGGGGTTTATTTACTAAAGCTGGAGAGTGCAAAATCAGACTCACTTCTGCATAGAAAACCAATCAGCTTCCAGGTTTCATTGCCAAAGCTTCATTGAACAAGCTGAGGTTAGAAGCTGAATGGTTTCTATGCAGAAGGGAGTCTGATTTTTGGACTCTCCAGCTTTAGTAAATAAACCCCTTTGTGTCTTAGGATTAGAGATGAGCGAAGAAATGAAAAATTCGATTCGACTGATTCGGCGAATTCGTGGACAATATTCGATTCGAGTCGAATAAATTCGCTGTGAATTTAACTTAAAAAAAGGGTGTTTCTAGGCTTCAGAGAGACTTAATATTAGTGCAGAACACTGTACCTTTAATTTAAATGCCCTTGGAGTCTGCTGGGGAAGAGAAATAATACTGTCACTCAGTATGACATGCAGATGAGTGCCGTCGATCTTAGAATCACCGCACACTTCACTCATTTGGCCAGTCACGGGGCCAAAACCAGTGTTTGGAGCCACAGTGTGGCGGTGGAGGCAGCAGCAATGGGAGGCCATTCAGCAACATATGACAAAATGGAAACCAGCAGGAGTGTGAGGAGACCTGAAAGTGGCACATGGCAGAGTGGGAGCAATGGGAGGCGGTACAGGGACCCAGGTCACACTGTGGGACCAGCATCAGCGTGAACAGGCGGTACGGGGGCCCATGGCCGATTTGACCTCGTTCATCCCATAGTCCCTGCCGACTCACGAATAGTGTGGCCTCCTCAAAGGGCCTGAGCAAGCGCAGGTGTCACGCATGAGCTGACAATGGCTGACATCTAAGTTACACAGGGAGTACCTTTATCCGCTTTTAACATCAGGAAATCTGTGATGGCCTTTCGCTGTTCGTAAAGGCGGTCTAACATATGTAGTGTTGAATTCCACCTTGTTGCAACGTCACAGCATGAGGAGTCGGTACGGGGGCCCATGGCAGATTATGTTGCCTGGCAGCAGCAATGGGAGGCCCGTAATCTGCCAGCACCCTATGTCAAAAAATTGAACACACCAGCAGTGTGAGGAGACCTCAAAGTGGCACATGGCAGAGTGGGAGCAATGGGAGGCGGTACAGGGACCCAGGTCACACTGTGGGCTCAGCAGCAGCGTGACCAGGCGGTACGAGGGCCCATGGCCGATTTGGGGCCTGGTGGCACCTATGGAAGGCCTGTAATCTGCCAGCAACCTATGACAAAAAATTGACCCCACAACCGCAGGAGTGTGAGGAGATTTCAAAGTGGCACATGGCAGAGTGGAAGCAATGGGAGGCCGTACAGGGACCCAGGTCACACTGTGGGCTCAGCAGCAGCGTGACCAGGCGGTACGGGGGCCCATGGCCGATTTGGGGCCTGGCGGCACCTATGGGAGGCCTGTAATCTGCCAGCACCCCTATGACAAAATGGAACCCTGGGCTGGGGCAGGCAGAACCGCCGTATCTTTATCACGGTTTTCCCAGGCCACCGAATGGTGACGCTGCATATGCTGACGCAACGCTGTAGTCCCAACATGGGCCTACTGGCCACGCTTGACTTTCTGGCCACATAGTCGACATAAATGCACGGCTACGTTTACTTCCTCGGGCGGCTTGACGAAAAATTGTCACACCGCAGAGTAGGAAACTTTGCCTCCGCTACTCCACACTGGCTGACTGCTACTTCCTCCTCCGTGCACACCGGCACCACTACTGGCCGTGGTGGTAGGCTGTTTTTTTCCCGCCCCTCGACCCATGCAGTGGAGCTGGTGCTCACACCTACTCCGTGGCCGTTTGCCTCCACTGACACTGCTGCGACCCCTGCTGCCTCCTGGCAGCAGCAATGGGAGGCCGTACAGGGACCCATGAGAGACTCTGGACTTGGCAGCAGCATGAGGAGGCGGTATATAGGGGCCCATGGCAGATTAGGGGCCTGGCAGCAGCTATAGGAGGTCCGTAATCTGCCAGCAACCTATGTCAAAAAATTCAACACACCAGCAGTGTGAGGAGACCTGACAGTGGCACATGGCAGAGTGTGGCGATGGAGACAGCAGCAATGGGAGGCCCGTATAGGGACCCATGAGAGACTCTGGACTTGGCAGCAGCATGAGGAGGCGGTATATAGGGGCCCATGGCAGATTAGGGGCTGGCAGCAGCTATGGGAGGCCCGTAATCTGACAGCACCCTATGTCAAAAAATTCTACACACACCAGCAGTGTGAGGAGACCTGAAAGTGGCACATGGCAGAGTGTGGCGATGGAGACAGCAGCAATGGGAGGCCGTATAGGGACCCATGAGAGACTCTGGACTTGGCAGCAGCATGAGGAGGCGGTATTATAGGGGCCCATGCAGATTAGGGGCCTGGCAGCAGCTATAGGAGGCCCGTAATCTGCCAGCACCCTATGTCAAAAAATTCAACACACCAGCAGTGTGAGGAGACCTGAAAGTGGGCACATGGCAGAGTGTGGCGATGGAGACAGCAGCAGCAATGGGAGGCCGTATAGGGACCCATGAGAGACTCTGGACTTGGCAGCAGCATGAGGAGGCGGTATATAGGGGCCCATGGCAGATTAGGGGCCTGGCAGCAGCTATAGGAGGCCCGTAATCTGCCAGCACCCTATGTCAAAAAATTCTACACACCAGCAGTGTGAGGAGACCTGAAAGTGGCACATGGCAGAGTGTGGCGATGGAGACAGCAGCAATGGGAGGCCGTATAGGGACCCATGAGAGACTCTGGACTTGGCAGCAGCATGAGGAGGTGATATATAGGGGCCCATGGCAGATTAGGGGCCTGGCAGCAGCTATAGGAGGCCCGTAATCTGCCAGCACCCTATGTCAAAAAATTCAACACACCAGCAGTGTGAGGAGACCTGAAAGTGGCACATGGCAGAGTGTGGCGATGGAGACAGCAGCAATGGGAGGCCGTACAGGGACCCATGAGAGACTCTGGACCTGGCAGCAGCATGAGGAGGCGGTATATAGGGGCCCATGGCAGATTAGGGGCCTGGCAGCAGCTATAGGAGGCCCGTAATCTGCCAGCACCCTATGTCAAAAAATTCAACACACACCAGCAGTGTGTGAGAGAGACCTGAAAGTGGCACATGGCAGAGTGTGGCGATGGAGACAGCAGCAATGGGAGGCCGTACAGGGACCCATGAGAGACTCTGGACCTGGCAGCAGCATGAGGAGGCGGTATATAGGGGCCCATGGCAGATTAGGGGCCTGGCAGCAGCTATAGGAGGCCCGTAATCTGCCAGCACCCTATGTCAAAAAATTCAACACACCAGCAAGTGTGTGAGGAGACCTGAAAGTGGCACATGGCAGAGTGTGGCGATGGAGACAGCAGCAATGGGAGGCCGTACAGGGACCCATGAGAGACTCTGGACCTGGCAGCAGCATGAGGAGGAGGCGGTATATAGGGACCCATGGCAGATTAGGGGCCTGGCAGCAGCTATAGGAGGCCCGTAATCTGCCAGCACCCTATGTCATTCAAAAAATTCAAACACACCAGCAGTGTGAGGAGACCTGAAAGTGGCACATGGCAGAGTGTGGCGATGGAGACAGCAGCAATGGGAGGCCGTACAGGGACCCATGAGAGACTCTGGACCTGGCAGCAGCATGAGGAGGCGGTATATAGGGGCCCATGGCAGATTAGGGGCCTGGCAGCAGCTATGGAGGCCCGTAATCTGCCAGCACCCTATGTCAAAAAATTCAACACACCAGCAGTGTGTGAGGAGACCTGAAAGTGGCACATGGCAGAGTGTGGCGATGGAGACAGCAGCAATGGGAGGCCGTACAGGGACCCATGAGAGACTCTGGACCTGGCAGCAGCATGAGGAGGCGGTATATATAGGGGCCCATGGCAGATTAGGGGCCTGGCAGCAGCTATGGGAGGCCCGTAATCTGCCAGCACCCTATGTCAAAAAATTGAACACACCAGCAGTGTGTGAGGAGACCTGAAAGTGGCACATGGCAGAGTGTGGCGATGGAGACAGCAGCAATGGGGAGGCCGTACAGGACCCATGAGAGACTCTGGACTTGGCAGCAGCATGAGGAGGTGGTATATAGGGGCCCATGGCAGATTAGGGGCCTGACAGCAGCTATGGGAGGCCCGAATCTGCCAGCACCCTATGTCAAAAAATTCAACACACCAGCAGTGTGAGGAGACCTGAAAGTGGCACATGGCATGAGAGACTGTGGACCTGGCAGCAGCATGAGGAGGCGGTATAGGGCCCATGGCAGATTAGGGGGGGGTGCCTGGCAGCAGCTATGGGAGGCCCGTAATCTGCCAGCACCCTATGTCAAAAAATTCAACACACCAGCAGTGTGTGAGGAGACCTGAAAGTGGCACATGGCAGAGTGTGGCGATGGAGACAGCAGCAATGGGAGGCTGTACAGGGACCCATGACAGACTCTGGACCTGGCAGCAGCATGAGGAGGCGGTATATAGGGGCCCATGGCAGATTAGGGGCCTGGCAGCAGCTATGGGAGGCCCGTAATCTGCCAGCACCCTATGTCAAAAAATTCAACACACCAGCAGTGTGTGAGGAGACCTAAAAGTGGCACATGGCAGAGTGTGGCGATGGAGGACAGCAGCAATGGGAGGCCGTACAGGGACCCATGAGAGACTCTGGACTTGGCAGCAGCATGAGGAGGCGGTATATAGGGGCCCATGGCAGATTAGGGGCCTGGCAGCAGCTATGGGAGGCCCGTAATCTGCCAGCACCCTATGTCAAAAAATTCAACACACCAGCAGTGTGAGGAGACCTGAAAGTGGCACATGGCATGAGAGACTGTGGACCTGGCAGCAGCATGAGGAGGCGGTATAGGGGCCCATGGCAGATTAGGGGCCTGGCAGTAGCTATGGGAGGCCCGTAATCTGCCAGCACCCTATGTCAAAAAATTCAACACACCAGCAGTGTGTGAGGAGACCTGAAAGTGGCACATGGCAGAGTGTGGCGATGGAGACAGCAGCAATGGGAGGCCGTACAGGGACCCATGACAGACTCTGGACCTGGCAGCAGCATGAGGAGGCGGTATATAGGGGCCCATGGCAGATTAGGGGCCTGGCAGCAGCTATGGGAGGGCCCGTAATCTGCCAGCACCCTATGTCAAAAAAATTCAACACACCAGCAGTGTGAGGAGACCTGAAAGTGGCACATGGCATGAGAGACTGTGGACCTGGCAGCAGCATGAGGAGGCGGTATAGGGCCCATGTCAGATTAGGGGCCTGGCAGCAGCTATGGGAGACCCCGTAATCTGCCAGCACCCTAATGTCAAAAAAAACAACACACCAGCAGTGTGTGGGAGACCTGAAAGTGGCACATGGCAGAGTGTGGCGATGGAGACAGCAGCAATGGGAGGCCGTACAGGGACCCATGACAGACTCTGGGACCTGGCAGCAGCATTGAGGAGGCGTATATATAGGGCCCATGGCAGATTAGGGCCTGGCAGCAGCTAATGGGAGGCCCGTAAATCTGCCAGCACCCTATGTCAAAAAATTGAACACAACAGCAGTGTGTGAGGAGACCTGAAAGTGGCACATGGCAGAGTGTGGCGATGGAGACAGCAGCAATAGGAGGCCGTACAGGGACCCATGAGAGACTCTGGACTTGGCAGCAGCATGAGGAGGCGGTATATAGGGGCCCATGGCAGATTAGGGGCTGGCAGCAGCTATGGGAGGCCCGTAATCTGCCAGCACCCTATGTCAAAAAATTCAACACACCAGCAGTGTGAGGAGACCTGAAAGTGGCACATTGGCATGAGAGACTGTGGACCTGGCAGCAGCATGAGGAGGCGGTATAGGGGCCCATGACAGATTAGGGCCTGGCAGCAGCTATGGGAGGCCCGTAATCTACCAGCACCCTATGTCAAAAAATTCAACACACCAGCACGTGTGTGAGGAGACCTGAAAGTGGCACATGGCAGAGTGTGGCGATGGATACAGCAGCAATGGGAGGCCGTACAGGGACCCATGACAGACTCTGGACCTGGCAGCAGCATGAGGAGGCGGTATATAGGGGCCCATGGCAGATTAGGGGCCCTGGCAGCAGCTATGGGAGGCCCGTAATCTGCCAGCACCCTATGTCAAAAAATTGAACACAACAGCAGTGTGTGAGGAGACCTGAAAGTGGCACATGGCAGAGTGTGGCGATGGAGACAGCAGCAATGGGAGGCCGTACAGGGACCCATGAGAGACTCTGGACTTGGCAGCAGCATGAGGAGGCGGTAATATAGGGGCCCATGGCAGATTAGGGGGCCTGGCAGCAGCTATGGGAGGCCCGTAATCTGCCAGCACCCTATGTCAAAAAATTCAACACACCAGCAGTGATGAGGAGACCTGAAATTGGCACATGGCATGAGAGACTGTGGACCTGGCAGCAGCATGAGGAGGCGGTATAGGGGCCCATGGCAGATTAGGGGCCTGGCAGCAGCTAATTGGGAGGCCCGTAATCTGCCAGCACCCTATGTCCAAAAAATTCAACACACCAGCAGTGTGTGAGGAGACCTGATAAGTGGCACATGGCAGAGTGTGGCGAAGGAGACAACCCACCGACTGTTTTGCTGGTGCTCGCTGCCAAGCTGCCACCCTCTTCTCCTGATGATGCGGAAGCAATAGCCTGATGACGACGAGGCCTGCCAAGTACGATCAGCCTCATCATCATCAATTAGGGGTCTCCGCCTCACTACTACTAGCCCCACTCGGCTGCGTGTGGGTCAGGAGACAGACCTGTCTCTACACCGGCTAACCGAGCCACTCTCCTCGCCACTACTTCTTCGCCTGGCTGCTGAAGAGGCGGATGTCTCCCCCCGTTCCTGACCCGCCCTCTGTTAGCTCTTCCTCACTGTACTGGATGACACCGGGAGCACTAGCCTCTGGCTGCGAATAGTGCTGCCTCGACCCCTTCCTCTGCTGCCCACGTCTGCTCGCTCCTAAAACATTGCCTCCTCTGCCACTCCTCTGCATGTTGTCTGACATACTCTTTAATTAAACGATTCTGTGTCCCTGAGTAACAATTCTGTGGCCCTAAGTAACGGTTCTGTGGCCCTCAGTAACAATTCTGTGTCCCTGATTAACGTTTATGTGGCCCTAAGTAACGGTTCTGTGGCCCTCAGTAACAATTCTGTGTCCCTGATTAACGTTTCTGTGGCACTAAGTAACGGTTCTGTGGCCCTCAGTAACAATTCTGTGTCCCTGAGTAACAATTCTGTGTCTGTCCGAGTAACAATTCTGTGGCCCTAAGTAACAGTTCTGTGGGCCCTCAGTAACAATTCTGTGTCCCTGAGTAACAATTCTGTGGCCCTAAGTAACGGTTCTGTGGCCCTCAGTAACAATTCTGTGTCCCTGAGTAACAATTCTGTGTCTGTTCCGAGTAACAATTCTGTGGCCCTAAGTAACAGTTCTGTGGCCCCTCAGTAACAATTCTGTGTCCCCTGAGTAACAATTCTGTGGCCCTAAGTAACGGTTCTGTGGCCCTCAGTAACAATTCTGTGTCCCTGTGTAACAATTCTGTGTCTGTGCGAGTAACAATTCTGTGGCCCTAAGTAACGGTTCTGTGGCCCTCAGTAAAAATTCTGTGTCCCTGAGTAACAATTCTGTGTCTGTGCGAGTAACAATTCTGTGGCCCTAAGTAACAGTTCTGTGGCCCTCAGTAACAGTTCTGTGTCCTGAGTAATAATTCTGTGTCTGTGCGAGTAACAATTCTGTGGCCCTAAGTAACAGTTCTGTGGCCCTCAGTAACAATTCTGTGTCCCTGAGTAACAATTCTGTGGCCCTAAGTAACGGTTCTGTGGCCCTCAGTAACAGTTCTGTGTCCCTGTGTAACAATTCTGTGTCTGTGCGAGTAAACAATTCTGTGGCCCTAAGTAACGGTTCTGTGGCCCTCAGTAACAATTCTGTGTCCCTGAGTAACAATTCTGTGTCTGTGCGAGTGAGTAACAATTCTGTGGCCCTAAGTAACAGTTCTGTGGCCCCCAGTAACAGTTCTGTGTCCCTGAGTAACAATTCTGTGTCTGTGCGAGTAACAATTCTGTGGCCCTAAGTAACAGTTCTGTGGCCCTCAGTAACAGTTCTGTGTCCCTGAGTAACAATTCTGTGTCTGTGCGAGTAACAATTCTGTGGCCCTAAGTAACAGTTCTGTGGCCCTCAGTAACAGTTCTGTGTCCCTGAGTAACAATTCTGTGTCTGTGTCTGTGCGAGTAACAATTCTGTGGCCCTAAGTAACAGTTCTGTGGCCCTCAGTAACAATTCTGTGGCCCTAAGTAACGGTTCTGTGGCCCTCAGTAACATTTCTGTGTCCCTGTGTAACAATTCTGTGTCTGTGCGAGTAACAATTCTGTGGCCCTAAGTAACAGTTCTGTGGCCCTCAGTAACAGTTCTGTGTCCCTGAGTAACAATTCTGTGTCTGTGCGAGTAACAATTCTGTGGCCCTAAGTAACAGTTCTGTGGCCCTCAGTAACAATTCTGTGTCCCTGAGTAACAATTCTGTGGCCCTAAGTAACGGTTCTGTGGCCCTCAGTAACAATTCTGTGTCCCTGTGTAACAATTCTGTGTCTGTGCGAGTAACAATTCTGTGGCCCTAAGTAACGGTTCTGTGGCCCTCAGTAACAATTCTGTGTCCCTGAGTAACAATTCTGTGTCTGTGCGAGTAACAATTCTGTGGCCCTAAGTAACAGTTCTGTGGCCCTCAGTAACAATTCTGTGTCTGTCCCTGAGTAACAATTCTGTGGCCCTAACTAAAGTTTCTGTGGCCCTAAGTAACAGTTCTGTGGCCGTCAGTAACAATTCTGTGTCTGTCCCTGAGTAACAATTCTGTGGCCCTAACTAAAGTTTCTGTGGCCCTAAGTAACAATTCTCTGGCACTCAGTAACAATTCTGTCTGTCCCTGAGTAACAATTCTGTGGTCCCTAATAACGTTTCTGTGGCCCTAAGTAACAGTTCTGTGGCCCTCAGTAACAATTCTGTGTCTGT